AACATATTAGAGCCTTTAGGGAACTCATTATCCAGAGGCAGCATCATCAAGGTAAACAAATGAAACTAGACTCACTCTTCAAGCCAGTTCGTCCCAACCCTGCTGCAGTTGTTGAGCCTGCTGACGATATTGATGACCCTACCAGTGGGGGGACAAGGACCGGTGGAGCATCATAGCTCTACTGACTCCGAATGATCACCTCTACCGACTCCGAATGATCACCTCTACCCCCACCTCTACCACACCAAAATAGGGCGGCAGATTAATTCAGGGAAGGATGCAAATGCATTTCAGGAGGATCTAAATAAACTGCAGGGGTGGTCTGAAAAATGGCAAATGAAATTCAACACCAGCAAGTGCAGCGTACTTAATATTGGAAGAACAAATACTGTCAATGTATACAGCCTTAACAACATCAACCTAGAGAAGTCGATTTGTGAAAGAGACCTAGGGGTACTTGTAAGCCCGGACCTACGATCTAGAAAACAGTGCGTTAATGTTCGAAATAAGGCAAACAGAGTAGTATTAGGTTTTATATCTAGAAGTGTAAGTAATATGAGTGCTAGGGTCTTATTGCAACTATATCTTGCGCTAGTCAGGCCGCACCTCGATTATGCGGTCCAGTTCTGGTGCCCTTATTATAGAATGAATATCAATTCACTAGAGTCGGTGCAGCGAAGAATGACGAAAATGATTCCGGGACTTAGAAACCTTCCATATCAGGATAGGTTAAAGAAACTTAACTTGCATTCCCTAGAAAGACGAAGCGTGCGGGGAGATATGATAGAAGTATTTAAGTGGGTGAAAGGAATCAATAAAGGGGATATAGATAAAGTTCTTATAATATCCGAGCAGGATAGACTCGGAGCAACGGATTTAAGTTGGACAAGTTTAGGTTTAGGAGGGAGATAGGAAGGAACTGGTTCACAAATAGGGTGGTGGACGAGTGGAACAAGCTTAGCAACTTTGTAGTAAGTGCGGGAACTCTGGAAAGTTTCAAAAGGAGGCTAGATAGATTCATGGATGATAGAGAGTGGTTGGAACTCTCGACAGGAGCTGCCATGCACAGGCCAACCGACTTATTGCAGACTCCTTATTTTCTTATGTTCTTATCTGTCATCTACCAAAGGTATATGAAATTAACAATTTACGGTACAGTATTAACTTTTTTATTTTTACATACTGTAATGTTTTATATAGCTAGTTATATGATGTTTACAGTATTTCCTGTATTTTTGTTACTGTGTATCATGTTCAGCATACAGTGTATATACAGTACTGTATTTCATAACCTAACCTAACCTAACCTAAATCGGTTAATTCGGACAATCGGCTAAAACGGACACCCTCCCCCTCCCCCCTATTACTCCGTTCTAACGAGGGTCGACTGCACAGCGGTACAGTAATAAGGATATAAAAGAACGAAGAGTGAGAATATTGGCCAACTGTTACGACCCAATCTTCATTGGGCTGTAGTCTTGTCACTTATCGGCACTTCGCCTGGTAACTGCCCAGTCCACTAACCTGTCCACGCCATCTAGGAGGGCGATTCGTCATTTTTTTGCCCATACTTGCAGTTTCACCTCCTACCTAGACCACGGTTCTCGGTTGCTTCACCTACCCAATAGTCTTCAACCAGAGCCAAAAATGACTTCTCCTGCCCGAGTGCAGCCAGTACACCTTCAGCTGGACTACTCCTCTGGGATATCTGCAGTACAACTTGACTTACTTCTCTCCAGTTATCACCAGGACAGCTGGACCTCCTCTGCTACCACAGGGACCATCAGGTCTTAAGTAGAATTCTACGTTCCCACTTCCCTCCATTGTGTTCCATTTTCCCGTATCTTGTTTAGGTTAGATTTGTACATAGGTTTGGTTAGGATTTAGTTGATTATTTTGTGTGTTAGGAGTTAGGTTCTTGATACCACAAAACACACTGCGCTTTCTCCTTCATAGACGTCATTTTGATACTGGTGACTGCAGCGCCACCTCTAGGGGAAAAATGTCTGTAAAATATGCATGAAAAAAAAATCTATGAATTCGTCTACACAATGCTACAACATTCATGTTTCTATCTAGAATGGTCTTCGAGATATGATTTTTCATAATCAGGGAAAGACTTTATGCTCCGGACTGCTTGGGGATTGGGTCGGTCCGGATTTTCGGATTTTCCGGATTCTCAGGCAGTACTTTTAAAATTCAAATTTAAGGAGGAATAAAGAAGAGATGAACAGATACATTTTGATAGTTTATTCATTAGCAAATATAGCATGCTTCATTTATCAACACAAGCAGTTTTAATGAAAAAGCTGTGAATTCTAGAATTTTATTCTTTGCCTTTTTTATAGCATAAATTGTAGACTTTCCAATGTTGTATGTTTCCATTAGAACAGTATTGCTCACACCACGTTCTATTTTAATTATTTAAAAATTTGTCACTCAATTTCAACGTGTTCTTCTTTCTCTTCACACAACGAAGTTTATCTACTTTAGGAGCCATTATTATGGGCTCCGTAAACGGAAAGAGTAGGACTCAAAATAACATACGTTGTCACAGTTTAATTGCTCATTTTAAAGTGGCGACCGCGTGGTCGCTTGTTGTTGCTGTGCAGCTGTGGCGCTCACGCATGCGCACATACACACAAAAGCCAGCTAAAAAAAATATAAATTTAGTTTTCGAAAAGTCCGGATTCTTGGGTGGTACGGATTTCTGGCATCCGCATTTTTGGACTTTTACTGTATATTACGCAAGTTATCTCGTAATTGGGTATGAGTTGTCCAGCACCCCACTGGCTAACCATTACCCTGGAATACGATCCACAAATTGATTAACATCCACGTTCCCAATTACTGCAGGGTAGACGGAGGCAAATGGTGTAAAGAAACTTGCCCATAGTTTCACCCTGCCCGAGGATTGAACTCGGGTCCACTCGCTTGCGAGGCGAAAATGCTGACCATTACACCACACAGTTACAGTCAACCCTCGCTTTACGCGGTTCCACTTTATGCGTTTCCATGTTTAAGCGGTACCCTGCCGAAACCGGAATGCTCACTTTCCGTGGTGTGTGTACCCTTTTCGCGGAGAGCGGCGCGAGCAGGGCGCGCACAAGGTCGCCCAGTCATCAAAACATTACCGAGTTCTTCACCCGCCACCCACCACAGCCGGCCCAAGTCAGTGATAATGATAATGATAGTGAGGATATGGACTTATATGGACTTTGGGGAGTTTGACAAAGAGGCCCAGCAAGCCTCTGTGGTGGACAGTGATACAATTGATACAAGTGATACAGGTGAGGGCCAATAATCTGCCCTCTGCCTCGGAGCCGACCCCCCCATCCCCGTGTGCCCAGCCATCTTTTCTACTAATGTAAGTGTTAAAAACCTAATATTATTGATATTTCTCTTAATTATTAATTGTGTGCACATGCCATCATAAAATTAAGAAGTTATTTTTACTACAACGTAGGTATTGTCTGAAAAAGTGGAGTTTGGGGGTCGGCCCGGTCTCTATTTCAATTAATCCCATATGTTATGTTGTTCACTTTACGCGTTTCTCACTTTACGCGGGCCGCCGTGGGTTCAATTAACCGCGTAAAGTGAGGGTTCACTGCAGTTGACCAACATGTGAAAGATCCGGTGTAGAGTCTACACATAAGCTGAAGTATTCTGTTTTTTTTCAAATCATCCAAAATTGATTCTCTTACTTTTTTGGCAATAAGCTGAATAAATTCAATACATATTGATTTCTGGCTGAAATGAATATAAAATTAGTTCTAAACTCATCATATAACATCGGAATATGGCCCATATGGCCCATCAATCTAAACGAAAATGCATTTTTTTAGTAAATCACAAATAAAAAACCCAACAAAACCAGACTTAACCTAACCCTATTTTTCTGATGAAACTCTGCAATTGACGTAAAATAATCTCTATCACAATGACGGCACAGCTATGTCCACCTGTTCAGCCATATCTGGTTATTCTGGTACTGAAAAATAAAACCTCCACTCCCGACGCACCCACGCATTGTTCAATGGCTAAGACAAAAAAATCTTGCCCAATTATAAGTCTCCTATCGCTATAACCAATAAGAAACTCCCACACCACCCCCCGTAAATGTGCTGTAGACGCTTAAGAAGCCAACACGGAGGTAAGGAGCACTGCGTGACGGGCGGTCAGACCTTCTGTGAGACATAAACAACAAATGGCAACACTTGTGACTGACCAAATCTAATAATATTGAAAAATTAATATCTTGGTTATCCTTAATTTCCGGCAGAAATATCATATTAGAAAAAGGTCTTAGAATTGTCTAAACATTACCAAAAACATATTAATAACAGTGACAGAAATACCGGTGCATGAAGAAAAATTCACCAAACATACTATTTTTAATAACCAAAGAAAGACCGGTGCATTAGTGAAAATTTACCAAAATGGACAAAATTTAGGGATGGATTCTAACAAGCCGCGGTAGTTGCTACTACTGCTGATATGAGCCTGATTACATAAGTACAACATAAGAAAATAAGGAGTCTGCAATAGGCTGGTTGGCCTGTGCATGGCAGCTCCTGTCGAGAGTTACTACCACTCTCTTATCATCCATGAATCTATCCAGCCTCCTTTTAAAACTTTCCAGAGTTCCAGGAGTTATTATAAAGTTGCTAAGCTTGTTCCACTCATCCACCACCCTATTTGTGAACCAGTTCCTTCCTATCTCCCTACTAAACCTAACTTATCCAACTTAAATCCGTTGCTCCGAGTCCTATCCTGCTGGTATATTATAAGAACTTTATCTATATCCCCTTTATTGATTCCTTTACTCACAGATGATCTTCTGGAAGTGACTCCACCTCAATGGCCTCTTCTCTACTCAGCCTCCCTCACCTGGAACATTCCTGCACCGACACTAGTGAATTGATATCCATTATGTCGTATCTGCCACTTCTGTAAGGTTAAACACATTATTCAAAGGTAGAATTAACACAAACACATACCTCACAAGAACCGGAAGCTGGCAGTAGGTCAGTAAGCTACCCGGAACATCTCAGTAGGAGTCCCACTCACTGTGACACACCCAGTGGCTTGTGTTATTGTTTGGGTTAAGAGAACTGCTGATAGAGGATGTGAAACTCATGTCACTACTGAGAACTGTCGACAGAGGATGTGAAACTCATGTCACTACTGTGTTCCCACTTGGCACCATCCCTACTGCCGGGCCCAGCCACCAGGGAGTAGCACTATCACTACTGTCTTGTCGTCTTGCCACTCACTTCACCCAAAGTTATATACCCAGTTACATGTACAGTATATAATATAATGCTTTATGTTAATGTTAAAATTTCAGGGGCTCAGAAATATAACTATGGGGCCCCAATCTTCAAAAGGGCCTATAATTTTTTATTAAACTGGGGGAGGGGGGGGGGACACTTCTTCTCAGTCAGCCTATAGATGTATAGCATAATTAGTTGCATGTTAATTAGGTTGAATCATTACTTAAATATAAATTATAATAAAACTAACAAATGCAAAAAAATCTTAAGTTTTGAGAGGCCCCTTCAGACTGTGAGGCTTGTTTAGCTTATGCCTAAATCCGGCCCTGAGTAAGGGTCAAGTGTGTATCATGTGTAGGGCATTAAACGTTGCTTCACTAGGCCTATACAGCATAAACGTCCCCCTCCCTCACTCTATAACTCCTAGACAAACTACTGCCGAGACACTAGGCCTATACAGCATAAACGTCCCACTATAACTCCTGGACAAACTAGGCCTATACAGCATAAACGTCCCCCTCCCTCCCTCTATAACTCCTGTACAAACTACTGCCGAGAGAAGTCCCTCATAATACACTTCTCTTAAATAGCTTGGATTATCGTGGACGTGTGTGTGAGTTGGTGTAGTGTGGCCACGTCAGAGGTGAGGAGGCGAGGCAGCAGCTCCACGTCACACACACTCTCCATGACATGTTAACGGTTGGCATTTGTTCTAGTGATGGCTGACTCCTCTAAACCTCCTCCATAACTCACTTTAAAGGCTTATTTCTTGCCTTATAGACAAAATACCGTGTTGATATTTTACAGGAGTGTTATACTACCATACCTTTAGTTTACTATTGTTCTGAATTTATTGTACTAATTGTTATTACTGTGATAATACTTAAAGAAGACTATGCTTACACTATCATAAAGGATATATCATGCTAACAACTAATTATACAGAGTAATGGATATATTTATACCGATTTTGTCCTATAGAATTGTAGCAATTATTTTTAAATATATGTTTTTTTCTAATTTATATGTTGGTTTTTAATTATACAGTATAAAAGTATAAGTTTATATTTAGTTGAGTTAATGGTGAGACTTGACCCATGTTCTGTAGTGCCATTGAGTCATCAGTTACCAACAACCACATAGGATTTCTATTATTTTTCACTAATATACTAAATAAAAGTGTCTGGATATATACTAATGTGATAATAAAACTCCATATAGTAGCATAGAACCAATCATATTAAATAAATTCCTTCAAATTTCTGAGATTTAAGAGTTAGAGGATAATAACCATCAGTAAGAATTTCAAAACTCTTCCTTTATTTTCAAAATTCATTTATTGCCTTATATACTGAATTACATAATTTACTATTTACTTAATTATGATGAAATAATATTAGTATAAAATATGAATATCTGAGGAGGGTTATAAGTATGAATTATGGCTAGATAGTGAGGTAGAGATGAGTGAAGGTTGTGGGGTTGATGGATGGCAGGACAAGAGTCAGTACAGTAAGATAGCAGCTACCAACCGGACACTTCTCATTCCTCTCTGCCGTAAGTTACCTTCTTATATTCATCTAAATTACCTTCATCTGCCTCATCATTACCCTAACAACATCATCAACCACGTGATTAATGAAGACAGCTCCTAATTCCTCTATAATAATCAATAATGTCATTCTTGTATTCAAAAACGTATGTAAACCCTCTTAGTACAATAAGTCCCCCTCTCTTATTTCGAGTTTAATCCTGGTTTAACTCATAATCCAGGTTTATATTCCTCTTAATATAAACCTCAATGTATGAAAGAATTTGTGTGTTAGGATTTATTAAGGTTCTGGTCCCCGGAATAGAGGAGAAAGTTAATAGTGAAGGGATGAGGGAACTGGCTTTCCCTGGCACTTGTCAAATCCGGTCAAAACCCCGGCAGGGAGCCTTAACGGAACCTTATGGTGATAATGGAGCCTTAACGGAACCTTATGGTGATAATGGAGCCTTAACGGAACCTTAGGTGATAATGAGAGCCTTAACGGAACATGGTGATAATGGAGCCTTAATGGAACCTTATAGGTGATAATGGAGCCTTGGAACCTTATGGTGATAATGGAGCCTAACGGAACCTTATGGTGATAATGGAGCCTTAACGGAACCAAAAGGTGATAATGGAGCCTTAACGGAACCTTAAGGTGATAATGGAGCCTTAATGGAACCTTATGGTGATAATGGAGCCTTAACGGAACCTTATGGTGATAATGGGCCTTAGACAGAAGGGTGATAATAGAGCCTTAACGGAACCTTATGGTGATAATGGAGCCTTAACGGAACCTTAGTGATAATAGATCTTAACAAACCTTAAGGTGATAATGGAGCTTGAATGAACCTTATGGTGATAATGGAGCCTTAACGGAACCTTAAGGTGATAATAGAGCCTTAACGGAACCTTATGGTGATAATGGGAGTCTTAATGAACCTTATAGTGAATGAGTTAATGGAACCTTATGGTGATAATGGAGCCTTAACGGAACCTTATGGTGATAATGGAGCCTTAACGGAACCTTATGGTGATAATGGAGCCTTAACGGAACCTTATGGTGATAATGGGCATTAACGGAACTTATGGTGATAATGAGCTTAACGGAACCTTATAGTGATAATGGAGCCTTAATGGAACCTTATGGTGATAATGGAGCCTTAACGGAACCTTAAGGTGATAATGGAGCCTTAACGGAACCTTATGGTGATAATGGAGCTTTAACGGAACCTTATAGTGATAATGGAGCCTTAATGGAACCTTAAGGTGATAATGGAGCCTTAACGGAACCTTAAGGTGATAATGGAGCCTTAACGGAACCTTATGGTGATAATAGAGCCTTAACGGAACCTTAAGGTGATAATGGAGCCTTAACGGAACCTTATGAATTATTATAACACCCTGGCTATCTCTTGTAACAGCACCCTGATAAACTGAAAATTGCTAAAGTTCACCTGGCATATAAAAAATCTGGGGACAAAGGTCTCTTCAAGAATTACCGCCCCATATCAGTCCTCCCAGCCTTGAGAGGTAAGATACTGAAATGTAGTAGACTAAATGCCTTCTGCAATGTAACAACATCTTTACAGACTCCCAGTTTGGATTTAGAGCTAGAAGGTCGACTGAGAGTGCTCTGCTATCCTTACTAATGACATCTTAAATTCCTTTGATGACAGTCAGTTCACAGTCGGTTTCGACCTCCTTAAAGCCTTTGATACTATCGACCTTTCAAAGCTTAAACATTACGCGTTAGGGCCTGTCCCACAATTGGTTTACCTTATATCTGTCCAACAGGATGCAGTATGTCTGCTATAATAACCACCAATCTGACTCCTGCCAATCTTGTTTGGAGTCCCAAGGTTCCATTCTTGGTCCAGTACTGTTTTTGTTGCATAAACGACATAGTCATGCCAGCTCACTTAAAATACAACTTATTTGCAGACGATAGTAATCTCTATGCCAGCAACTCAGACCTCCACCTGATGAGAAATATGACACTGAATTAACTAAAGTCGGGACCTGGGAATACGTATAATAAACTGACCTTAAACCTTGAGAAAACCCACTACGGATCTTTCAGAAGGAATAAACTTACCTCAGACTTGGACCCCTTATACCTTGGTAATACAGTCCTCAAACGAACAAGATACTAAATTCCTCAGAGTTATTGTTGATGAGAAACTTAACTGGAGAAACCACATACAAGCCATTCACAGTAAAGTCAATAAACAGTGCGGTATCTTGTAACACACTCGACAGTCACTCACTCTTAGGAATTAATGAAATCTATCATGATCTTGTTTATCAACACCTGATACACTGTCACACACACATGGGGGGGGGCCTCTGTCTCTTCAAAATCACAATCTCTGGTTACTGCACAAAAGAGAGTTGTATAGACACACTGTACAGTATAGACACAGTACAGTATAGACACACAGTACAGTATAGACACACAGTACAGTATAGACACACAGTACAGTATAGACACACAGTACAGTATAGACACACAGTACAGTATAGACACACAGTACAGTATAGGCACAGTACAGTACAGTATAGACACACAGTACAGTATAGACACACAGTACAGTATAGACACACAGTACAATTATAGACACAGTACAGTATAGACACACAAACAAAACACAGTGCAGTATAGACACACAGTTCACAGTATAGACACAGTACAGTACAGTATAGACACACAGTACAGTATAGACACACAGTACAGTATAGACACACAGTACAATTATAGGCACAGTGCAGTTATAGACACACAGTACAGTATAGGCACAGTGCATACAGTATAGGCACAGTACAGTACAGTATAGACACACAGTACAATTATAGACACACAGTACAGTTATAGGCTGATACAGTACGAGTATAGACACACTGTACAGTATAGACACACTGTACAGTATAGGCACAGTACTGGTACAGTATAGACACACAGTACAGTATAGACACAGTACAGTACAGTACAGACACACAGTACAGTATAGGCACAGTACAGTACAGTATAGACACACTGTACAGATATAGACACACTGTACAGTATAGGCACAGTACACAGTACAGTATAGGCACAGTACAGTGCAGTATAGACACACTGTACAGTATAGACACACAGTACAGTATAGGCACAGTACAGTACAGTATAGGCAGTACAGTACAGTATAGACACACAGTACAGTATAATTTTTTACAGTACAGTATAGGCACAGTACAGTACAGTATAGACACACTGCAATATGGACACACTGTACAGTATAGGCACAGTACAATTACAGTATAGACACACAGTACAGTAGACACAGTACAGTACATTAAGACACACAGTACAGTATAGGCACAGTACAGTATAGACACACAGTACAGTATAGGCACAGTACAGTACAATTATGGGCACAGTACAGTACAGTATAGGCACAGTACAGTGCAGTATAGACACAGTACAGTATATAGACACACTGTACAGTATAGAGCACAGTACAGTACAGTATAGACCTACAGTACAGTATAGACACACAGTACAGTATAGGCACAGTGCAGTATAGACACACAGTACAGTATAGGCACAGTACAGTATAGACACACAGTACAGTATAGACACACAGTACAGGGTATAGGGCACAGTACAGTCAATAGGCACAGTACAGTATAGACACACAGTACAGTATAATTTGAAGTACAGTACAGTATGAGCACACAATTACAGGTATAGACACACAGTACAGTATAGACACAGTACAGTATGGGCACAGTGCAATTACAGTATAGACACACAGTACAGTATAGACACACAGTACAGTATAGACACAGTACAGTACAATTATAGACACAGTACAGTATAGGCACAGTACCAGTACAGTATAGACACACTGTACAGTATAGACACACTGTACAGTATAGGCGTACAGTGCAGTATAGACACACAGTGACAGTATAGCACACTGTACAGTATAGGCACAGTACAGTACAGTACAGTATAGACACACTGTACAGTATAGACACACACAGTATAGGCACATACAATGCAATATAGACACACAGGACAGTATAGACACACAGTACAGTATAGACACACAGTACAGTATGGACACACAGTACAGTATAGGCATACAGTACAGTTATAGACACACAGGACAGTATGAACACACAGTACAGTATGGGCACAGTACAGTTACAGTATAGGCATCGTAAGCACATGTACAGTATAGACACACAGGACAGTATAGACACACAGTACAGTATGGGCACAGTACAGTACAGTATAGACACACAGTACAGTATGGACACACAGTACAGTATAGACACACAGTACAGTATAGGCACAGTACAATGATATAGACACACTGTACAGTAGACACACTGTACAGTATAGGCTGTACAGTTTTGAGGCACATCAGTACAGTATAGACACACTGTACAGTATGAACACACACTGTACAGTATAGGCACAGTACAGTGATATAGACCTGCAGTATAGACACACTGTACAGTATAGGCACAATACAGTTCAATATAGACACACAGTACAGTATAGACACACAGTACAGTATAGACACACAGTACAGTATAGACACACAGTACAGTATAGGCACACACAGTACAGTATAGACACACTACAGTACAGTATAGACACACATGCACAGTATGGAGCTGTCAGTACAGTATAGACACACTGTACAGTATAGATTACTGTGAGTATAGGCATGGTACAGTACAGTATAGGCACAGTATGCAATATAGACCTCTGTGAGTATAGACTGATGCAATTACAGTATGTGGTTAGACACACAGTACAGTAGTTGGGCACACTTTAATTGCAGTATGGGCACAGTACAGTACAGTATGAGACACACAGTACGTGTAGACACACAGTACAATATGGGCACAGTACAGTACAGTATAGACACTCTGTACCAGTAGGCCCTCTGTACAGTATAGGCACAATGCAGTACAGTATAGACACAGTACAGTATAGACACACAGTACAGTATAGGCACACAGTACA